ACTACTCTCTCTCTCTCTCTCTCTCTCTCTCTCTCTCTCTCTCTCTCTCTCTCGCTTCCGTAGCCGCAGTTTCTCGGTTCCATCCACCTCGTCTCTTTTTCTTCGCGCTTCTACCTGTCTCGCTGCTTTTATCTGTTCATTCGTCTCCTCTGTCTCTCGCCGCATTTCATCGTCGATAATCCGTCCTTCCCTCATCGCGTTCTAACACGCGTTTCGTGCCCGACCCGAGCCTACCGAGCCGACTCGCTTTTGACCTTCGATGGAAAAAAAGGAAAAAAGTAAAAGATCGTCTGGACACGACTCTAAGATTGTTAACGGTCGATGACTCCGCAATTTTTCGACGGCTTGGCGTGGAAGCCGTGTGACGTGCGAACCTGTGGGAAGGACGGGGCGATTTCAGCAACGACGTGCTCCTTCTCGCGCGGTATCGTTTTAATCGTGAAACGACACGCGAGTATAATGAGAAATTGCTAATGTGAGAGGTTTTATAAATAAAGTAATAATTACCATTTTTCTTTTTAACGTTGGAAATACACTCCACGTATTTCATACGTGCAACGACGCGAGAGAAATGTACGGGTTCCACTTGCGATAGCGATTCCATTGTCGGGAGATCGCGTGTCCAGCATTGTCGAATCGCGCGGCATAAATATTAAGCCATTTTAATGCGCCAATGCGTTTAACACGTTTCGTGGATTATGCACAAAATTTGCCACTCCGTTTAACAGTCAGGACCGGATAGGATGTATAATGGATGCGAGGACGCGGACAAAATACTCATGATGGTCCCTTGTAATGTCATAATAATCTGTTAATATATTTTCGCGCGAACGTATGTACAGGCGCAAATAATAATATTAATATTAATAATAATATTAATAATAATAATAATGCTTCATTTCTTCTTCATATATTTATATATGTATAATTCCGTATCGATAGTCTTTAGGTAAATTACGTAAGTCTTTTACCTATAGTATATGTATATTTATATATGTATATTTTATGTATAGTATATACGTACTGTCGTAATATGTTCATATTTATAAGACGGATTATACAAGAATTTCGCTAATCGAGTCTATCTACAAAGAGGAGGATGAAAGCGTGAGTTTCCTATTGTCTCGCGCTTAATAGGATCGATTGGCCATACCCGGCCTCGAAATTCTCTTCTACATTCTTTTTATTCTCGGAGTGACGCAGGCCTTCCCCAAGGAGCCAAGCGATTAATGAAATATACAATGTTGCTAGGTTCTACTTAGCCTAACGGGGAGAGAATTATCGAGGGAGAAACATAAATTCGCTCGTTCGGGTATCGCATATTTTTGTCTATATAAGTCGCGTTTTTCTCTCGTTCAGACCCGAGCTGTTCTCGCTAGAGTATGAAGCTTCTTTATACTCTTCACATATGCGGCGTTACACTGGTATGGTACAACAAAATACACCGTACTGATAACATAGATAACTGACATATAAACAATTATATTACAAATGTGTAATTGAAGTCCCAAAATAATATTAGGAGAACATATAAAATAAAAATCAAAATGTCATGGAAATGAGATTATAGGAATATATTTTAGTCTCTTTTCTTATATATCAAGTAAATTTAAAAAAAAAGTGAATAAAAGGATAGCATTCGTGGATCGAAATAATTTTTTAATGGAAAAGAAGCGATGATGAAATCGCTTTTATAAATAAAATTTGTGAATAAAAATGAAAATTACTGAAGAAGAAATATAGAAATGGCGTATTTAAGTTTAATATTTCGTCTTGAAAAATCTGGACTTTAATAAGATATCTGATGTCAATGTAGATTCATTAGCAGAAAAGAAGAGGTAGCGATTAGAAAAAAATACAAGAGGCGACATTGAAATAGGTCTTATTGACCTCAGTAATATGATCGATAATCCAACACAATTATTGTGCGTTTTCATTCATTTTAAAGAAAGTAATACAAAATAAAAAACAAGAACTGCTCTTGGGTGACAAAAAATATTTCGTTGCAACTACGACATTTTCCGACATTTTTTCAAATATCAATATCGTAGTACAGTGGTCTCCGTAGCTAGACATTGCAGATTCATGTTTTCTGTGAATCGGCCTACGAATCTGAAACCACTGTCATAACGAGTCCAACTTTGAGTTCTCTCGCGTACTTATTTCATCATCTTGTAGGCTGATCTGTCATTTCAACGCTAGGAAAATACAAGATTTTCATTAAAAAAGTTAATATTATTTTATTACAATAAAAATAACAATTTATATTTGAAAAAATTATAATTTTCTTATTAAAAAAATTCAACATTTTCGAAATTTTAGTTGTAATTTTGAAGATAATTCTTGATCATAAGATTCCATTTGAAACAAATAATTTTTTTACGAGATTTACCAGACTTCCTTCCATGATCAAAAA